AAAAACGCATGTTCTTTAGCAAACTAAATATCATTCAGTTAGGGTTAACATCTACTTTAGGGCTGGGGTTCATGTTGCAAAAAGTTCATGTACATTTTGCCACACGTTAACTTGAGTTGCATCAATGCACCAAAAACATGCACATAATATTTTTTGTAACCTAGCTACAACATATGTACATTGGCAAGGTGTGCTGGGATGCAATTATGATTGAATGGCACTGCAGCACGCCAACTTGCAAAATGCGCATTTTCATGCCTTCCAGCAGGGCAACATTGTGAACCCAGCCTTAAAAGGTCAGATGGGAGCCTTTTCAGATCCTTCAAGCCATTGAGTTTTTGATGCATGATAAAAAGGCATGCTTCTATGATTTCTAATATCCGCCTATTTTAGGCATGCATATATGCAATTGTTCAGACATTGTGCACAGTAAGGGAGAAACATTCAGTTTAAAAACAGTTCCCAATGAGCAAATGCATGAAAATATACATAACCTCATAAGCTAAAAAGGTCAGATGGGAGTACTTCAGATTATTGTAACTCGTAAGTTTTGATTCATGTCCCTGCATGCGTCTATGAATCCCAATTCCCCCATTATAAGAATGCATTTTGTGCATGCATTGTGCACAGTGAGGGATTAACAAACATTCAGTAAAGAAAGCTCCCAATGAGTAAAATGCATGAAAATATACATAACCTCATAACCTAAAAAGGTCAGATGGGAGTTCTTCAGGCCCTTCTACCCATGTGAATTTTGATGCGTGTTACTGCATGCGCCTTTGAATCCCAATTCCCCCATTTTAAGCATGTATCTATACATTGTGCACACTGAGGGAAAACACTCATTATAGACAGCTCCCTAAAACTAAATGCATTCAAAAATATACGTTCATATGTGTTTTGTGCATTTAACAATTATTTCAACCGGTCTGTTTAACAAATGCAAACCAATGCTACGTAAGAACCCCAAGCTAAAAGTGCATAGAGGTCAACAGAATTTTGTATGTGAAATCCAGCCATTAAATCCACGTGTTTTACAACAGACGTGTGAATGGGCCCCTAAATACCACCTTTGCCTAGAACATCATTCTGATGTCTGTGATCAATCAGAGGAAAATCTCAGCCGAGTTTTATTTTACAACAGTTACATGGTGCTTTTATTTCACAAATACATTTATAAATCAGTCCCACAGATAGTATTTCCTGTCCAGCACAAAATGACACAAACATGTAACTGGGGAGCGAGTAAAGTTCTTGCTTGAGCAGCAACCCAGCAGACATCTATTTGCATAGCTGAGGAATTTCCAGAATAATTAAACCTGATGAAGGCAGATTCTGGCTCACCCTAAATTAGACATAAAAAAACACCCACTGTCTAGGTCAGCTTTAAAGGGTTTACACTCCTGCAGAC